TCCTGTGTGTAAGCAAAATGTGAGCTTTAAGAAGCAATCCTGTCTGTTCTTTTCAGGCCGCCTGAACAATTTCCTTTCATTGGTCATGGTACCTTGCTGAAAGGCTTGCCTGACAGCCAGGGGTGTAGGGGCTAACAGTGAGGCAAAGGATCAGAGAAATGTCATAAAGAAAGACGACTCTGCAGCAGGACGTGCTATGCACATATATGATCCCAATCATAAAACCATATATCCACAGGGGCTTTAGTTGTTCCCAACACCATCGTCCCCCCACCCCTAGGCATTTTTCCCCTTTTTTCTTTGTTAGCATTGAAGTAAAACAAATCCTACTGATTTTAGATGCATATGGAGCCAGATTTCAGCAAAAGACATTCGGTGATCGCTACAAAAAGAATCTGCCTGGTCTCCATTATGCATCCTTACCTCACTGGACCATTTCTAAAGACCCCAATCAGCTTTGCAGTGATGCTTTAGTTCCTCCAGTCCTTTAAGCAGGTGATAATCTCACGGTACTAAAGATGTCAACATCTTTTCAGATTCCTTTGGCTCTAATAAGGAGCAGTTGTAAACCCATCTCATGGCCTCTGTCCCTTGTAACTAATTTCAAGAAGCAAAAGACTCTTAGGGATGATTTACTTTTTAATGGAAATAAGTTGGTGCCTTCAATTTATTTGGTATTAATAGCAAAATGGATGGATTTGCACTAAAGAAGGATGGTAGATTTTTTAAATTCCCAGTGTCACTTCACTCTAGTAAGAAATAAAGTAATTCTTTATTCCACTAGCTCTTTCTATCACCATCATAAGCACACACACACACACACACACACACACAGCTGAGACATTTATCATTAAGATGTAATTTTATCAAATGGTTCTAAGAGTGTGTTGTGCCAAAACGTCCCTTGTGGTTTAGAACCTCCTAGGAAATCCCTAGTGGAAAATATAGGCTAATATTCTACTTGCCCAAAAGTTATTAAATATTTTCTATTTTGAGTCTGGCTGGTGCAGTACATTTTAATGCCCTGACATGTTTTGCTTAATAGGAATGAATAGCCAGGAGCATCATCACAGGTCTGGTAATATTTTCTGCTTTTTCTTCTTTTTTTCTTAAAGCAAACATGAAAAGAGTCAAGGGGTGTGTGTGTGTGTGTGTGTGTGTGTGTGTGTGTATGCATGCATACACATGGGTATGCAAGAAGTATTATGATTTTATTATTACACCTCCCTTTTCCCATCTCCTGTGACCCTAAGTACTTTTGGGTCAGTTTTATCAAAATAATAATAAAATGTAAATAAATAAACATAAGAGGGAGTATTGTGTAATGCAGAGAAAGTTAACCTTTAAGTATGGACAACTTTGACACAAATTCTGTTTTTGACATCTACCAGTTTTGGGAATGTGGTCAATTCATTTAACTCCTCAGTGAATGAGGCAACTTTCTAAGATTAGAAGCCATGGACAAAGTATCAATCTTTATTGGTAGGTGGAACTTTTATATTAGGAATTCCCCATACTGAATAAATCAATAATAACCATATGGTTATCTGAGGAATAGTCTAGCTATGTTTGAAAAGGCTAGTGACTTAATTGGCCACAAGATGATACATTATTTTTCTAACACAGAACCTCCTAACAACTTTTTACTAAGCATAGAGGAGTGCTGCCTTATTGGCAGAGTCATCCATACCTATGATGAAATCATAGAATCATTGACTTATTACTGGAGGGATCTTGAGATACCAAGACCTATTTGAGATATCTAGCCCAATTCCATCATTTTACAGATAAGTCAAGTGATTTATCCAATTTTACATAGATGGTGGAGGTAGAATTTGAAACAAAGTCATCTTAATTCAAATCCAGTTTTCTTTCCATTGAACAGTGCTTCACTGGTTATTAAGCATCAAAGTATACATATAATGGAAGCATTTAAGGTATGAAGAAGATTAATCTATGTCACAGGAGGGAATACATAAATCATTGAAATCATGGCTATTTAAAGGTATTCAATATTTACTACACCAGCTTTAGATTGGAACAAATTTTGTACAAGAATGATGTATGAAATTTTTCTGCTTGCAGTCTAGAAGATATTTCAGACTACCTTCCAATAGACCATAGATCACAATCTGCCTTAGCTATTTTAGCTCTGAATTATTGCATACAATATCACTTTCAAGGCATTTTAATGGAGCCATTTTACAAAGCAGAGTTGTTAAGATTTTAATAGCAAATTAAGACAAAACCCATTTAGATTACAGATTTTCCTAATTTTTTTAGGCATCACCTTTTTTCTTAGTAAATTAGGAATAGCTGCTATTCATAAGATGTCTTTTACTCATTTTATCTCTATCTGGAAAGGGTCAGCTAGGTGATGTAGTGGATAGAACTCTGGGTTTGGAGTCAGAAAGATCTGGGTTCATATCCATCCTCAGACACTTACTAGCTCTGAGACCCTGGGCAAGTCACTTAACCCTGTTTGCCTCAGTTTCTTCATCTGTAAAATGAACAGGAGAAGGAAATGACAAATCACTCTAGTATCTTTGCCAAAAAAAACTCCAAATCGGGTCAGGAATAGTTGGATATGACTGAAAGTGTCTCAACAACAACTCTGACTTATTTTATCTTTATTCATACATACTTACATACATACATACATACATACATGTATATATATCAATCAAAGTGGTAAATGGGCAAACCTGGCTTAAATCCTAGCCATTTCTAGCCACTTGATGTAATGTAATATAGAGATCATTTGGTATAACTTATATCTTCAGTTACACCAAGTGAAAATTAATGTTTATGTTATAAGTTATTTTTCAGTTGGTTCAATATACCATTACTTCCTCCTGGAGTGAGAGTAGTGGGCAGATTGTTAATAATAATGCTACTATCCACCTCTACGCCCTTCCCTCTTTCAATCAATTCATAATCTTAGTAGAATCAGAACTAAAAAGTCAGAAATGGAGAATGACTCTAAAAAACTCAAATGGCCCTCTTCCCAAAGATATAGAAATTCCCCCCAACCACATATATCATAATCCCTCCATGCCCGTTCATCCTGAAAAGCTCTTGGCTACCTATAACTTCACACAACGCAGTCCTACCCAATGTTCTGAGGCCTTCCTCTCTTCTGATATCACTAACTAGCAGTGGAGAATTCTGGTTGTCAAATTATTATCTCTCCACACTGTGGCCAGTAGAGAAAAAACTTAAAACTATTCACTGTTTCTTTTTCTACTTCTATTTACAAGGTTAGTTATTTATGTAATTGTTCAAAAGCCTTTATCCCAATTAGGTTCATTAGTATCAATCAAAGTGTTATAGTATCATCTATATTTGAAAAATCTTTTTGCTTCTGTTAGGGTAGAAAAACATATATTACATCTCATGAAATGAAATAAAAAATCAAAGCTGCCACTAACTAACAGAATGATCTTGGATATCAATTCTCTGGGCCTCAGTTTCCTTATTTGTAAAGTGGAAGTGGTGGACTAGAATTTAGAGGTGATAAACTTAACACCTTATGTCTACAAAACTCTTGAGGGGGGCCCAAACCAAATTAAAATTTAATTGAGATATGTTTAATAAAACACAATGTAAATAAGATTAATTTGTGGTTTTCTAAGCTAATATGTGACCCATAGGAATTAATGTTTTTTGAGTTTGACACCACTGGACTAGTTGAACTCTAAAGTTTCTTCTAGTTCTGATATACCATGAATCTATGCCTCCATATGTTAGCATCAACTTTATACCTGAGCCAAACAAATAATAAATAGCAATATAGTCAATGGGTTTTAAAATATTCTACAGTGTTGATTTTTATCACAGCATACATATAAAGTCACATGGGTCTGAATTCAAAGCAGATTTGTACAACCTAGAAACTTTGATAAATTTCGCAACCAAAAAATATCTTAGAGAACATGTGTTCTCATAATAACATTTTTTCAGATGAGGAAACTGAGTCACAGAAAGGTGACATTTTATTCGAGATTAGACAGCCAGTTAATGGCAGAGTCGGTATTAGAACTTAAAGAAGTATAATACCCAATTTAAGCATGCTGTTTCCAAGATATTACTTATAGGAGGAGTGAAAATCCTAGGCCAGCAGCATTCAATCTGACAAGCCTGGCACAAAATATATGTGCAAAACATAATATATGTAGAATATTGTATATAGATCCTCTTTGTTCACAGCACTATGTCATAGAAATTCTAATACTATAGATGAACATAAAAGCTTATAATTCATTTTCACTTAATATTACCATAATCTGAATTGCCAGATATAAATATTCTTAGAAGTATAAAACAGAAAAAAAATTAACATGGAATTATGAAACCCATAGGGAATACAGTCATATTCATTATGAAAACTAAGATTTCTCATATCATATCCCCAAATGGGAAGACTAGCTTTGTCATTCATGAGGGGGCAAACAATAAAAATGTCTTTCAGAGAGTATTTTTAAACTGTATTTAGTTTTTCTTTTATTTGTGTTTTTATTTCTATAGTAAATACTCTAACTCAGGTGACAATTGTTTTAATTATGACAACTTGTTATATAATTGTTCCATTATTATATAGGTAATGCATGCAAGGAGAAAAAACAACAATAGGAAAACGAAAGGAAAGGTAAATGATTTGTAACAAGGTTCTATTCTTCCTTTAAGATATGAGTTGCAAAAACAAAACAGAAATCAACACCATTGCTAAAGCCCTTAATTCCCCAAAATATTTTTATTGAATGAGATGGTAAAAATCCATGTCAGTGTCATTTTTCTTCACAATTATAATCTGTAATATGCCTATAAACCTTTAATTAAATAACTGCCAAATTTGGTCCAAAATATAGTGCACTATAAGTAGCCACTGGGCTAGGCTCATCTATCTGAAGACAGGAGGGGTTCATAAAAAGACAGCTTAGTTTTAGGAATTGGCAGCTAACCTAGGACTGACGACTGAAACAAGTCAGATGGTAAATTACCTTTGAGAGGTCCCCAGCCTCCAAGTAGAAGCAGATAACAAACACATTCCATGTAACCCAGAGGACTAGCCAGATAGCATACTGTTGGGAAGAAAGAGAGAAACAATATTTTATTGAGAGAACCAATATTTGCTTCATTTTTTAAATTAGCAATGCAAGATTTAAGTAGAGCTTCAACTGAGTGTGAAACTTTCAGAAAATCAATGTATTACAAATGAGAGAAGAAAAGAAGAAAATAGGTTACATAGCTCTCTTTTGTAAAAAACAAGACTATGTTCCAAATAATCACACCGGCAGTTACCTGTCACTTAAGAAGTTAATGGCATTGGATTCATGCATAAAATATCTTCAGATTTGAGATTATTTAGAGCCTCCAGTAAAACAGTATAGAGAGAAGTATGTGTGAAATTTCAATTCATAAAGTTGTTTTTTTAATGAGAAATGATTTTGAGTATTCTAATATTGTTTCACTATTAATCTGTTATTACCATATATTACCACATTTCTTTATCATGGTACCTCACTTTCTCATTGACTGTAATGGAAGGATCAATCCATGCTCTTTATTAAGATGTTGAATACTAGTAGAAGGCAAGTAAAAATACACATTATGAACATTTGAAAGGCACCACTTTAAGAATATCAAATGTCACACATATTTTGTCATTGGCAGAAGTTCTCTTGGAATTAAAGGAAATGTCTACAAAACAATGTGAATAATCTTTATTGAAATGTCTGCCATTCCAACTCTTCACCATAAACACACCATAAGTATCCTCTTAAATCACATATGTCCATGCCTAAACTAAGTCATAGATCATTCGCATCACTTTCATCCACTTGTAAAATCTTGCAAAATGTGCACTTAAAAATTCCTGTTTTCAATGTCAGCTATGCCCTCACTTCAGTAAGGCAATCTTTTTATTCCTCCCTAACTGATTCCTTATCTCACTTCTCACAGACTCTTGCAAATCTTCCTTTTCCTCTTTGGGCTTCACCCTTCTTCATCCTCTTTACTTAGAAAACTGACCATTTGACATGAGCTCCCTGTTCTCCCATTTTCTTCATCATAAAATCCTTTTCCCTAGTCTCTGACAAAAAAGAAAAAAAAAGACATGACTTTCTCTTTGCCCAGGTCAACTTTTCTACATGTGCCACTGGTCCCATCTGTCTTCTTCTGCAGGTTGTGACCTCAATCATCTACTCTCGATTCTCACATCTTTAGTTTTTCTTTAGCTACTTATTCCTTCCTTTTTCTCAACCAAAGTCCTCAACAAAGCTGCTATAACCAATGTCTCTTCTCTTTTCACTCATTCTTCAATCTTTTGCAATACTGCTTCCAATCTCAAATCAAAGTGCTTGCTCCAAAGTTACAGATGATCTTTTATCACCAAAGCTGGTCTTTTGTAATTGCTCATCCTTCTTGCCCTTATCTTGATACCATTGACTACACTCTCCCCTCCTGTCCTCTCTTCCTCTCTGTACTATCTCCTCTATCTCTCTGGAACTTTGCCAGCTACTATGGGTGTTGCCTCAGTCAAAGTGAGAACTTGGAAAGACCTTAGCTTAAAAAGGCCAACATCCCCACTGCATCCAGGGCCTTCTCCAGTTGTCTTAATCAATATCTGGCCACTAGACCCACATGCCTCAGAGGAAGAAGTGAGGCTGGTGACTTTGCACAGACCTCCCTCAATTTAAATCCAATTCATTTGCGAAGTCATGGTATCATCTTCCTGATGTCATGGTCCTCTTCAAGAACAAAGGACAAAGGGGCAGCTAGGTGGTACAGTGGAAAGAGCACTGGCCCTGAATTCAGGAGGACCTGAGTTCAAATCTGGCTTTAGACCAAACACTTGACACTTACTAGCTGTGTGACCCTGGGCAAGTCACTTCACCCCAATTGCCTTAAAAAAAAAAAAGAACAAAGAACAAACCACACATGGAAGTATTTAACAACTCAACTGTACAGATGACTCACAAATCTATACATCCCACCCCAGTCTCTTTCTTAAGTTTTATTCTTACATCACCAATTGCCTGTAAGATATTTCAAATTAGGTGTCCTAGAAACATATTAAATTCAACATGTCTAAAATTAAACTCATTGTCTTTTACCCTAAACTCTCTTCTCTTCCAAATTTCTTTATTTCTTTCTCAAGTACCACCATTTTCCCAGCATCTCAAGTTTGTAATACATGCATTATTCTGGACACCTCACTCTCATCCCATGTAATGAATCAATTGATAGATCTTGCTGTTTCTACCTTCCTTTGAAATATCTCTCCCACTCCATCATTTCTCTCTGTTACCTATGTAGCTATCACATTAATTTATACTTTCATCACCTCGCATTTAGCTTATTGCAATAGCCTTGTCTCTAGTAATTCTAGTTCATCCTAAACACTGCTGCCAAAATAATTTTCCTTAACTGTGGATATGGTACTTTCCTACACAAATAATTTAAGAATACCCTCAAGGGAAAAGAAAATGTTGCATCAATTGATGAGCCTGATCCTCCTAGTGATAATCAATTCCAATGACTTCTTATTACCTCTAGGATTCATTCATTCATTTGATACACATGAATTAAGAACCTATTATATGCTTGGAAGTGTGCTGATGGCTGGGGATGCAAAAAGAGGTAAAAGACTGTCCTTACTCTAGGGGAGCTTACAATCTATAGACACTTCTGTTTAGTTTGTAAAACCATTTCTAACATGTCCACAATCTATCTTGCCTGTCTCATTTGACATTAGACCCTCCTCTTGCACTCTGTGATCCTGCCAAACTTGTCTTCTCTCTTTTCTTCTTACAAAATATCCGATCTCCCTTCTCTATGAATTTACACTAGCTATTCCCCCATGCCTGGAATGCACTCATATCCACCCCATAAAATCCTTCTCTTTTTTTAAGACACATCAGAGGTACAACATTCCACATGAAGCTTTTCCTTATCACTTTCTAATTATCTCCCTTCCAAATTAGCATACATTTAATTTATTTGTATGTATTCCATGTATGCATGTATGTATGTGTGTTTGTGTACTTTTTACATTCCTCATTACAATATTAGTTCCTTGTAAATTAGGATTATTGAATTCTCTATTTGTATCCCTACTGCCTACTACAGTGACTTTCCTAATTAATAAATATTTGTTGATTGAATGAAACATGTGGTTCTTTAACTGAAATGATGGGAAATGTTATCTAAGACTCCAAGACATGAAATGACACCTTGACAAATATATTACTTTAAAAGATACAGAAATTTCTATCAAAATTGGCCCACTGAGATACTATATATATGAAGCAATCATATATTTACATGGATGATAATTTATGTACTACTCATACAATATTGTTTATTTTTCATTGAACCTGTTTATGAGAGGACATTGAATATTAGGTCATATAATCCAATCTCTTGGATTAACAGCAGAACATTTATCCACAAAATAATGTTTTTATCATATCTCCTTTAAAGCACCTCTAATTCAGTAACTGAACCAATATTTATTACTTGCTTATGCTATGGCAAAGTATAATGGTGGATACTAAAAATAATATTTTATATTTTTATAGAGATTCATAATTTTCCAATCACTTATATTGGATAGGGAAAACCATGCTGGACTTGGAGTTTAGAGACACCTGAATTTAGATTCTACTCTGACATTTTACTAGATATATAAACATGGACAGGTCCTGTAAAATGAGACTCAGTTTCCTGACTTGTCAAAAAGGAAGATAATATCTCATGATTTTCTGAAGGCCAAATGAAATAATGTGTATAAAATGCTTTATAAAAGTTAAAGTCCCACGTAAATGTCAGCTATCTTACTATCAGTATCCTTATACTGTGAGGTAGACCTCACCTGTATTAGATACAGCAGTCATTTTGTAGATACATAAAACTGAGACAAACGTTAAGTGACTTACCCAAAGTCAGACAGGTAATAAGTGGTGGAGCAGAAACTGGAACCCAGGACTTTTGTTTTCTACTCCAATACTTTTCCTACATTGCTCTGTGACTGTGTCTTTCACATCAGAATGCCTCCACTATTTACTTAATGGTATTTTTTGCATCTAATTTACCTAGCCATAGTGTTATTTTCTTAATGTCAAATGTTCTCATTTCCCAGTTTAATTCAATCTCAGTTTCTAAAATGCCATTGTTTATTATTTGATATAGGAATGTCACTTTATTAAGCAATAGGATATTTTTATTTAATTCTGAGTAATGGCAATATTATACCAATCTAAAGAACCTCAAGCATTTTGTGGGGGCAAAGGATTGGAAACTGAGGAGATGCCCATCAACTGGGGAATGACTGAACAAGTTGCTGTATATGAATGTAATGGAATACTACTGTGCTATAAGAAATGATGAGCAGGCAGTTTTTAGAAAAACCTGGAATGACTTACATGAACTGATGCTGAGTGAGGTGAACAGAACCAGGAGAACATTGTACACAGTAACAACAACATTATGTGATGATCAAATTTGATAGACTTAGTTCTTAGCAATGCAATGATCTAAGACAATTCTGAGGGACTCATGATTGAAAATACTGTCCACATCCAGAGAAAGAACTATGGAGTCCAAATGCAGATTGAAGCATATCATTTTCTCTTTTTTTTTTTCATTTTTTCTCTCGTGTTTTTTCTCTTTTGTTCTGATTCTTCTTTCATAACATGACTAATATGGAAACGTTTAATATATGTATAACCTATATCATATTACATGCTGTCTTGGTGGGGGGGAGAGGAAGGTAGAAGAAAAAAATTGGAACTCAAAATCTTGTAAAAGTGAATGTTGAAAAGTATCTTTGCATGTAATTGGAAAAAAATAAATACTATTAAGTGGGGGAAAAAGAACCTCAAGCATTCACTAGTTCTTGTATGTTGTTATTCTTACTTTTCACATATTTATAACCTATGATCATGGGCTCTTCTCTTTTCTTTTTAGGCAAACACATGGAATCCCATTAAGCCCTTCTCCCAAGGCATACTTCAGAATCCTTTCATCTCCTGGAATAATTTATAATGTACTGAGTACTTTATTATACTTCTGCAATATG